AGGGGGAGGGCTCAGCACCATGACTGCCACCTATCACGGTGGGCAGCGGTTGAATGGGAGCTGAGGACGAGACCACCACACTGTGACCAGTGTGACTTGGGCTGTGAGACCCTTCTCTCTTTGGATCTTGGCATTCTGGAGGGCAAAAGGGAAGACCAGCAGAGCAAAATGTCGGGGAAACAAGGGGCTGGAATGTGGCCTCTGGACAACGGGACCAGCTTTGTTTTACCACCAAAGCTGGGGCCGGGCCCAGATTAAAATAACTTGTCTCCCTCTGACCTGCTATCCTGACTCTGGACATGGATGGGAACCCCACCATTCACCATGCAATATGGGCAGGACTTAAAGCAGCGCCCCCCAAAAATGACAGATGGATAAAGGATAAAGGGAAAAAAAGGAAAGTCAGGCACAGTGGCTCATGCCTGTGATCCCAGCACGTAGGGAGGCCGAGGTGGGAGGATTGCTTGAGCCCAGGAGTTCGAGATCAGCCTGGGCAACAAGGTAAGAACTTGCCTCTACAAAAAAATTTAAAAATCATCCTGGCTTGCTGGCACATGCCTGTATTTCCCAGCTACTCAGGAGGCTGAATTGGGAGGATCATCTGACCCAGGAGGTGGAGGCTGCAGTGAACCATGATCGTGCCACTGCTCTCCAGCCTGGGTGACAGGGGAAGCTCCTAACTGGAAAGAGAGGAAGGGAGGGAGGGAGGGAAGGAGGGAGAGAGAGAGGAAGGAAGGAAGGAAGGAAGGAAGGAAGGAAGGAAGGAAGGAAGGAAGGAAGGAAGGAAAAGGAAAAGCGTCCCTCTGTCCCGGGACAGGGAGGCTCCGGCTTAGAATAAGAAGCTCGGCCTCCCCAGTGCTTCCTGGCCTTCCCACATGCACCTCTGCTTCCCGGACAGTTGCCAGCTCCTGGGTGCACCCCTTTTCCAGTCTGAGCTCAGGGACAGTTCTCGCCACCTCCCCCTTCCCCTTAGCCAAGACCTGCCCAGAATACAGGCTGTGCACACCTTAGGGGCAAACAGACCACAGGAAAACAATCTGGTATCCCAAACCCCATCGACCCCAAAGGCAAATTACAGTCATTGCCTCAACACTCAGCCTCCTTTCTAAACACCCAAGGAGGCAGGCGCCAGCTTGTTTGCACTGTGGAGTTGATTTGTGGGCCACCTCGCAGCCCTGGTTGCAGGCTGAGCCATTGAGAGGGCCATGAAACCCTGCGTGCACAGCCTGTTACTTAGGAGTGAGAAGCTCCAGGTGCTCAGGAAGAGCACGTCCTGATCAGCGTCTGGGAAGTTTCCACGTGGCCCCTGTGCTCACGCTGGCAGACATCTCAGAGCCCACGAGACAGGGCTAAACCTCTGGCCTTTCCAGCTGTTCAACTGCACATCGCCCAGGGATTTTTGGCTGGCGATAGACAAGAGCAGATTTCGATAACAGAGAAAGGGTAGAGGCAGGGAGGGCCAGAGGTCACAGACACTGTCCAAGGAGGAGGGTTTTATTGTGCCCATTTTGCAGAAAAGGAAACTGAGACCTGAGAGGTTAGGACACTTATTCAAGTTCCCGGAAGAGATGGAAGCAAAGTTGAAGTCTTAAATGCAGAGACCAGCCTCCACCTCCCCAGCCTCCTGTGTGCTACCATTCACTGCTGCCTCTAAGGAGGGCTCTGCTGGGAGGTGAGACCCTCATCGCATGGCCTGTAGTGGGATTTTGGTGCACCACCTCCTTCCCTGACCTTAGTTTCTTCTTTAAAATGCTGTTGACCAGATGCTGGTGAGGATGCAGAGAAAAAGGAACCCTTCTACACTGCTAGTGGGAATGCAAACTAATGCAACCTCTTTGGAAGACAGTGTGATGATTTCTGAAAGAACTGACCCAGCAATTCCCCTATTGGGAAAATACCCAGAGGAAATCAAATCATTCTACAAAAAAGATAACTGCACACATATGTTTGTTGCAGCTCTA